GGGAGCACATCACATGTGGGAGAACATCTCACACGGGAGCACATCTCACGTGGGAGCACATCACACGTGGGAGCACATCTCACACGGGAGCACATCTCACACGGGAGCACATCTCACGTGGGAGCACATCACACGTGGGAGCACATCTCACACGGGAGCACATCTCACACGGGAGCACATCACACACGGGAGCACATCTCACACGGGAGCACATCACACATGGGAGCACATCACACGCGGGAGCACATCACACACGGAGCACATCACATGTGGGAGAACATCTCACACGGGAGCACATCTCACGTGGGAGCACATTATACACACTAAACTACAGCATCCCACTCACTAGAAAAGGAATCCCTTCAATAAGCTCACAGATAACTTCAGGACTCTCCACTGAGTCTGTGTTCACCCATTCAGTGGTAGGACTTTATTAAAACCTCATTAGCCTGTCACATGGAGCTTTAGATCTTCTACTTGGCTTGTACAAAGGTAATGACTGACTTTATACCAATATTCTCTCATGTTCATCAGCTAAGAAAGTGTGCTGGGGTCATGTATTAATCACAGAAGCACATACCAGAGATGATAAATCCTAATCATAACAGTACTTTCAACTTCTCCCATATAGAAAGGTAAAGCTATCTTTAAAATATATAAAGTATATTCAACAAGATTAATGCAATTAAAATTTAATATACTGTAATTTGCTACCTTTAAAATTTATATTAATATATGCCAATACAACCATTAAATTAAGCAAGGGATGTTCTATAGAATGAAACTGACACCAATTCATAGATATAATATAACCACAGGATAATAAAATAGTAAGAACAAAACACAGAATATTTACAAACCAATGTTTTATCTACAAAATTGCTAAACAAAGCAAAACAAATCTCAAGTTACAACGCACCACGCTTGGCAATGTGAAAAATTAAAGAATTAACAATTGTTAGGGCCCAGCACCCGTCACTCAGTGGTTAGGGGGATGGCCACATGCACCAGGGCTTGTGGGTTCCAACCCAGCCTGGGCCTGCTAGACAACAACAACAACAAATAGTCAGGCACTGCAGCAGGCGCCTACAGTCCCAGCTACTTGGGAGGCTGAGGCAAGAGAACTGCTTAAGCCAAGAGTTGGAGTGAGCTCTGACGCCACGGTAATCTACCTAGAGTGACATAGTAAGACTCTGTCTCAAAAAGAAAAAAACACAATTGTTAGGTTTTGTCACATATGATCACTTTTGCTTTTTGTTTCAATATAAAACATACTAGCATTTTATATTGAAGTCAGCTACATAAAATTAAAACTTTTCTGTGTTATTCCAGAGGGCAGAGCTATCATAACTACTCTCATGTATCAACAAATGTAATCAAATTTCAAATGTCTTAGATAAAACATAACAGACCAACAGTATCCATCACACAAAAGGACTACAGGTACTCAGGGAGGTGGTGCGCACTGCAGGTGTCCAGGGAGAGCTGCTGGACACTGACTCAGGGGCAGACTGAGACCACACACAAAATGTCTTAAAAGGACTACAGGTACTCCGGGAGGGGGTGTGCACTGCAGGTGTCCAGGGAGAGCTGCTGGACACTGCAGGGACAGCCTGAGTCCACACACAAAATGCTTTGATCTCAAAAACACAGTGCACATAAAACAAAGTGTGCACGGTTAGTTTTCTTCTTTTAAAAAATCCAAGACTGGCTCGGTGCCTGTGGCTCAAGCGGCTAAGGCGCCAGCCACATACACCTAAGGTGGTGGGTTCAAATCCCCAGCCCAGGCCCACCAAACAACAATGATGGCTGCAACCAAAAAATGGCCAGGCGTTGTGGCAGGCGCCTGTAGTCCCAGCTACTTGGGAGGCTGAGGTAGGAGACTCGCTTGAGCCCAGGAGTTGGAGGTTGCTGTGAGCGTGATGCCATGGCACTCTACCTAGGGGGATAGCTTGAGGCTCTGTCTCAAAAAAAAAAAAAAAAATCCAAGACTTCCTTGAATTTCTAATGTAACAATGTAGCTATCAGCTGACCTATAAGTTCCAACAAACTTTATTGTTTGCTACTACACACACCTGGAACAGGCTCAGTAGGAGGCCATAATAGGCCAACTTACACAGGAAATGGCCTGTTAATATAGCACCTGACAGCTGGCGTTATCTAAAATGTGAAATGGTTTAGGGTTCAAGAGGAGAATGCAGTGTCCTTGTGTTCAGTTTTATAGACAGAAAAAGAAGATAAATATTAGTACATTGACAACAGCTTAAATCTTCCATTTTTATTCCTCTGCCTTAAATGTATGCACACTAAGTAACATCAAAGCTTGGAATCTGATGGATTCCAAGACTTAGGTCACTCATCAGACCCTAGACAGGCAAAGGCAACTATATCCAGATGTGAGGACTCACAGGTCACAGTCTCACTTACATCAGCAGATAATGAGCTGATGCACCATCCAGTCTGACTGCACAGCAGAGCCGGACCTCCATACACACCACTGGCTACTCCATAAGGCAACAGCTGGGGTGGAGAACTCTGCCATGAAGAACTGACTTCTAGAAGATGTTATTACTTAGACACAGGCCAATGTCCACTCCTTGGTCAATTTAACAGCCAGGCCCCAGCAGAGAACTACAAGCTCCTGGGGCTTGGCTTTTGCAGCCCAGAGAACTGGCCGCCAGGAAACACAACCTTTCAACTGACAGTAGGGCTATTCTCCAGGGAGCTACTCAGGGCTGCCACCTGCCTAAAGCCAAGCTACCCCCCAGACACGCCTGAGGCATAGGAGTGGCAAAACCCATGTGCACAACCAGATAACCCACCGCCAACAACAAACCGAGAAAGAGCTAACCTTCTTTCTCTAAGGTTAAAGAGTCTTTATGTACCATCTCAGAATTAAAATGTTCACCAAAGTCCTGAAATACCAGAAGTTTGGAAGGCAGCAATCAAAAGCAGTACTTGACTCACTAATAGTTGCTCACTTGCCAAGACCCTGTTCTCATACTCTCATCAGCTGCTCAGAGGCACGTGACAGCACACCGCACATCATGAGAAAGTGGGAAGTTTCATCAAGCCCTTTTATCTTCCTTACACTCTAAAACTCAATCACATTGTTACGGCATTTAAAACAAACCTCTTTCACTACTAAGACTGAATTGAGTTGTCCTTATTTTTAATAGTACCTATAATTAAAATGTGTTGGGAACGACAGCATACATACATATATATCCTTATGCTTTGACACATTTAAGAATCCAATACATAACATTTAAGAAAAATACGTACGTTCTTTCTTGATTTTTTCAGCTACTAGAAATTCATCTCTTTCAACAGTTGGGGCAAAGTTGCTGCCAATAACTCGAACAGCATACTGGAACTGCTGGGCCACATCAGCTGCAGGGTGAATGAAAGCAGGCACGTTACTACCAGTCAGCAGTTTCAACTGCCTACAAGAGCTGGGCACACACAGCATTCCCCTTCCACCCTCCACCTGTGTTAACTGAGAGAAAAAAATCCTACTAAGAAATCAAAATAAAATGAACAAATAAATGGAATTAAGAGTTCTATGAAACAAGAAAAAGAACAGCAATGGGCCAGCCTTCCAAATCCTGGAAGATAAAAGCATGAAGTGTAAGAAGAAAGCCTGGTCAAGAGAGCCTCTGAGAAGCTCCTGGGTCAACAAATAGAGTCACAAGCAGGCCACTCGACAGCCACAACAGGCAATAACCTGGATTTGTGCTTCAACACACATGTGGGCTTTCACCCCTTTCAAAAATACTATTACACTGAAAATAAAAGAGTTCTAAAAATTAGGCATATACTGCCAACGGCAAAAGAAGCAAGGCAGAAACAGCAGCAGAGACGTCAAAAGTGAAAAGCTGGTACAGGGGCCATGAAACCTGCAAGCTATTAGTGTCCACTGGGTTAAGAACAGAAAGGGGAGAGTAGGAGACAAAAACCAAGAAGAAATACAGATCCCTCAGCAGAGGCCCAGGGAGGTTCAGGCCCTCAAGATCAGACACAAGCAGAGTGGAAGGAAGAGCCTGGTCGAAGGTCTAGAAGGAAACAGACCCCGGGTCTTCTCTTCAATACGTGATCCCCGACCCAGGCAAAGAAAAGCTGGCCAGGAGAAAGCACTACAGAAAAGCAGCAAACTGAATTCAAGGACCCTCCGTCCTTTCTGGAACACTGAGAGGCAAACCCCCTCTGTGGCCAGACGAACCAGCCCACGGAAAAAGACAGTGACACAGGGGTAATCCTGCACAGGGGGGTCTCTATCCAATCACAGCCTGCAGAGATGAGGCAGATTTACTTCCAGCCACCATGGTAAAAATAAAGCTGGTCACATGACTGTTTTGGTTTCTCAGTGCATATAAAAGTCAGGATACACTGCAGTCTATTAATGTAGCATTATATCTTTAAAAATGTACCTACCTTAATTAAAGAATACTTTATTGCTAAAAAATGTTATCGACCATCTGAGTCTTCAGACTCACAATCTTTCTGCAGGTGCTTCCATGCTGATGGCTGCTGACTAAACAGGGTGATAGTTGTTGAAGGCTGGGGTGACTGTGGCAATTTTGTAAAATAAGGTTTGCGCATCCGTGGGCTCTCCTCTCATGAAAGATTGCTCTGCAGCACATGATGCTGTTCGACAGGGTTTTATCCGCAGCAGAATTTCTTCTAAAATTGCAGTCAGTTCTCCAAATCCCTGCCATACCAATTGCGTTTATGGAATATTGCGAATACCTTGTTGTCATTTCAACAGTGTTCCCAGCACCTTCACCAGGAGTAGGTTCCACCTCAACACAGCACTTTCTTTGCTCGTCCATGAGAAGCAGCTCCTCATCCACCCAAGTTTGATCCTGAGATCGCAGCAACTCGGCCCCATCTCCAGGCTCACTTCCAACTCTGGTTCCCGCTATTTCCAGCACATCTGCAGGGACTTGCTCCCCGGGAGTCCTGAACCCCTCAAGGCATCCACCACAGCTGGAATCACCTTCTAGCCTCCTGTTAATGTGGACGTTTGTCCTCCTCCCATCATCACAAGTGTTCTTAACAGCGTCATCTAGAATGGTGAAATCTTTTCTTGAAGATTTTCATTTCACTTTGCCAGATCCATCAGGGAATCACTATCTATGGCAGCTATAGCCTCACAAACTGTACTTCTTAAATAATGAGACTTGCAAGTCAAAATGACTCCCTGATCAATGGACATGAAGACAACATTCACCTCCTAGCACTTCTCCATCAGAGCTCTTGGATGACCTGGTGCATTGTCAATGAGCAGTATTTTAAAAGGAATTCTTTATTTTTCTGAGCAGCTCTCAATAGTGGTGTTAAAATATAAAGTAACCATTCTGTAAACAGCTGTGCTGTCATCCCAGCTTTGTTGTTCCATTTACAGAGCACAGACACAGTAGTTAGGTTCAGCATAATCCTGGCGGGCTCTGGGATCTTCAGAATGCTCAGTGAGCACTGGCTTGGACTTAAGGTCAGCAGCTGCTCTAGCTCCTAAGGAGAGCCAGCCCGTCCTGTGAAGCTTTGAAGCCAGACATGGACTTCTCCTTTGCAGCTATGACAGGCCTAGACGGCATCTTCCAACAGGAGGAGGTTTCGTCTACAGTGAACATCTGTAGCACAGCCAACCTCGGCATTGACCTCAGCCAGGTCTCCTGGGTCACTCACAGCTGCTCCATCAGCACCCGCTGCTTCACCTCGCACTTTTATGTCATGGGGACGCGTCTTTCCTCAAACCTCATGGACCAGCCTCTGCAGCTTCCAATTTTTCTCTGCAGCTTCCTTACCTCTCAGCCTTTTTCAGCAGTGTTTTTTAACTTTTTTATCTCACTGCACACTTGAACCTATAGTTAAACTTCCACAGCACACTTAAATTATGTTGATTAAGAGTAAAAAATGTATATGCCTTGAACTTCTTTTGAAAATAATTTAATTAATGATCTTTAAAATTTTCAAGGCACACCTAAGATCCTCTCCCAGCCCACCAATGTGCTGTAGAACATCAGCTGAAAAATCACTGCTTCCTAGAAATAAGGAGTCAGGGCCTTGCTCTAGGTTAGGCTTTGGCTTAGGGAATGTTGTAGCTGATTTGATCTCTCTCCAGACCACTAAAACTTTCTCCATATCAGCAATAAGGCCATTTTGCTTTCTTATCATGTGCGTGTTCACTGGAGCCGCACTTTTAATTTCCCTTCAAGAACTTTTCCTTTGCGTTCACAACTTGGCTAACTGTTTGGTGCAAGAGGCCTGGCTCCCAGCCTATCTCGGCTTGTTCAACTTGGCAAGCCTTCCTCCTGAACTTAATCATTTCCAACTTTTGATCTAAAGTGAGAGAAATACACATTTAAACACTCAGAGGCCATCACAGGGCTAGCAATCAGCCTAACTGCCTAACTTCAACGCTGTGGTGGCTCAGGAAGCCGGGAAGCCCAAGGAGAGGGAGACAGGAGCTGCAGTCAGTGGAGCAGTCAGTCCCCTCTTATGCAGGTGCAGCTTGTGGTGCCCCCCAAATTACAATAGTAACATCAAATATCACTGATCACAAATAACACAGCAGATACAATATTAACTAAAGTGTGAAATACTGCAAGAACTACCAAAATGTAACACAGAGACGGAAGAGAGAGTACGTGCTCTTGTGCCAATGGACTTGCTCTATGCAAGGGTCCCACAAACCTCCAGTGTGTAAAAATCACGGTACTTGTGAGCAAAACAAGGTGAGAGACAGCAGAGTATAGTGTGCCTGTCCTCCTCAGGAAGCTCAAGCCCTGGCAGCGCTGCCTTCTCAGCCTTCCAAACCAACTCACCCTTAACTATCAGAGGACAAGTAGCACCACACAGAGAGGACAGCATCTAACACGGAAGAGCCAGACAAAAACAAGGAAAAATGAAACTCTAAGAATGAGCAAAATGTATGAAATAGGAAAATGAAAGACTTTTTAAAAAGCAACTACAATGGCCTCAAAGATGAGAAATACCATATCCAGGAAACAGAAACAGGAAGCTACAGATAGAGAGAAGACAAGCTCTAGAATGTTTAAAGGATGGTTGCAGAATGCTTTTTAAAATCAGAATGTCTGTATTTAAAGTTGAAGAGATTTCTATAATACCAAAACAAAAGGCTGAAAGATGGAAATTAAGACCACCAAGATAAGAAAAGCACCAGATCCAACCAGGCAAAAAAAGGGCAGGAGGAAGCTGGAGTGCGACCCATCTCCAAGGAGGTCACGGAAAACCACCTGGCAGCAGAGGGTCAGCAGTCCCTGCATTTAAGGAGCTTAAAAAGAGGAGGCCTAATGTCACAGCAGACAGTCCCTGCCCTCAGCCACCAGCTCTCCTTTCCACAAGCAACCAGCATTATTAGGTTCTGTGTAATCACAGGAAATTCTAATGCATGACTCTGGCTGAAAGGTAGTGCCCTAAAACAACACAAAAAGAAAAAGCATCACTGTAGATCTGTGATTCTCAATTTGGGGGGCCTCAAGGCCCCTTTACACTCTTAAGATTGAGGACTCCAAAAAGTTTTTGATTATATAGGCTACACCTATCCACAGTTACCATATTGGAAATATAAACCAAGCCAATGTTTAAATACTTAAAAATAAAAATAAACCCATTAAGTACAACTTTCAAATGAAGCCTAGAACTTTCAAGTTGTAATATATATTTATTATACATTTTAACATTCAATATACATTCATTTTCCCAAGAATGCAGTTACTGTATAATCAAAAGAAGATCACGTGTTATTTAGAATTAGATCAAGAGATCTTCACTGCTTTGGGAAATCATGAAACCAACAGGAACGCCTCCAAGGTAGTGAATCATGAGACAGCACTGCTGTCCCTTGTGCTTGTGGCGCACTGACAGTGGTCTGACACATTACAGCAACCCTCTCACTTCAAGGTGCTGCGTGCTGCAGGTGCACCTGGACACTGACCTTGTACTCATCTATGTCTTCGTTACCCCACAGACAGAGCTTACAAAGTGTTGACTCTTGCAGAGTTGAAACACTCTCCCATTAAGCACACTACTATCTGTGATAGAAATAATGACTCTCCAAAGACAGAATAATAAAGTAAAATGTACTCCTGGGCAGGGCAGGGCAGAGAAGGGATATGAAGATAGGATTTTCTTATCACTTGCCAGCAGTATGTGTTTCAAGCAAATTCACAGATGTTAAAAGTCAACTGTAATTTTTTTTTAAAGATACTCTATAAAAAGTTGATTCATATGAAATTCACTAAAAGTAGTATCTATTATGCCCTGATTTCACAGTATGAAAATACATAAGTCCATTAGCAATATGTAATTAGAAAATTAGGTAATTAATCAATGTTCTGTGGAGTTACAGCAGTCAGTCCCCTGCCCTCAGATAAAATGTCCACTAATGAAACTTTTTAACATCAAATATTGCACAGGCATCAGTTAATATTGCTCCTTTCATCACTAAG